TTTGAATTTTGGAAGGACTTTGTAGCTACTTGCATAAATAGAATGCAGCAGAAGTGGCTGTGCATGACCTCTAAAGCTGAATCATAAAAGATAATATGACCTTCATCTAGCTCTCTTGGATGATTACCCTTAAAATCCAGCCACCACGTACTGACAAATGTATCAGGCCATATGGAGAAGATGTCGTATTTTTGCCAATAGCCTCCTATAGGGTTTTAAACACCAGACATCTGAGAAAATGAAATTTCAGATTATTTCAGCCACCAGCCTTCAAACGGCTGCAATGAATACTAAGAGAATCAAAGATAAGTTATTACTACTGAGCCCCACCCAAACAGGATTTTAGCAAGCAGAATATTAATAATCATTGTTGCTTTAAGTCAATGGGTTTGGGTGGTTTGTTACACACATTAATAATAGAGCAAGAATAAGGGAAGACAGCAAGGCAGATACAGGAAAATAGGAAGGAATAATAGATTGAAGGAGGGGGAAATTAATCGAAAGTCTATCTGGAGCAATGGTTATCAAAGTGTGGATCCATAGCATCCAACTACCTGAGAACTTATTAAAAGACAAGTTCCTAGATGATGCCCAGACATACTGAATCAAACACTCTGGAAACTGCCTGTTATTTCCCTCTGCAGTTACTGGAAGATAATTCATTAAATTCCCACTAATACTTATCTGAATGTATTATCTAGAAAGAACTAAATATGCTAGTATGTGAGTTACTGTCACAGAGTAAAACCATTTTCCTTCCTGCTCATCGATATTCTTCTATTATATGCAGACTTTCCAGGAAGCCTTCCATTTCCATTTCCATTTCAGAGGAGATACTTACAGGGAATACACATTCTACATATACAGTAATAAAGGAAACCCACACCAGTTGCCCAGAGAAATCAATTAAAACTTGAATTCTGTAAGTATGAATGGTCAGTGAAGGATATTAATTTCCCTCCATAAAAAAAAGTAAAAAAGAGCAGCTTGCCCCAGAGAAACTGAGATAATTCAGAAACAGAACTTATTAATAACTTAGTATAGCCTCAGAGAGATTGAAGGATATAGCACACCTACAAAAACAAAAATAAGATGCCTCAAAATAGAAAAAGTAGAAGACACTAAAATGTATTTTTAAAATTTATAAAAAATAAATATCTAAAAGGTGAAAGAGCTGGATTAACTATAAAATTAATAATATATGCCCAGATGTGGGTAAAAATAGCAGAACTGTTAAAAAAAGAGAAAATATTAAATATATAAATTATCAATAATGGGTGTCTAATATTTAATATATAGGAATTCAAAAAGAATAAAATCTAAAATAGAAGTAATGAAACTATGAAAAAGTTTAAAGATACTGTATCAGCTTCATCTGAAAGAGAAAGGGACAGCTGAAAATTAAAAGAAGGCGTCAGATTCCCAACCTTCTTTGGGCAGGAACAAGACTGAGAACAATTCTCAGGTAAAACAACTCATTTATTATGGGAAAGGTAGGACTCAGAGGGCTGAACCAAGTTTTTAGAAAACACAGCTGGAAGCTAAGTAGATTCCTTCTCAGGAAGCAGATTTGGGTTTTAATGAAGAATATGATGGTATGTGGCTATAGGTTTCAGTTTCTATGGGCAACTGAATTCTAGTGTCTCCTGTTGTTTCTCCTGTTAAAGAAAAGTGTCTATTGTGATTATTTGATGCCTGTTTCACCATAATGTTTTGGAAATGTAGGGGGAAGGAAACTTGTTTATTTGCTATTAACCAAGTCAACAGAGAAAAATCACACTCTAAGAGCATCATCTGTACCTAGACCTGGTTTAGGTGATGGTAAACTAAACTTCAGTCCAATATACTGTGCTAATGTATTTAGGATCTTGGGAGTGGGTGGTATTTTGTACATGAAAAGAATGTAAATAACTTGTGGCCAAAGTTTGGACTATAGTACATTAAAGTTCGTTGCAAGTCTTTTGCTCTTTCAGATTCTCTCCAGTTGAAAGAAGGTCTATGTTTCCTTCCCTTTAATTTGGGAAAGCTCTGTGACTAATTGACCTATAGAATATCTTAGAACTGAAGTTTTGCCAGTTTCTAGGTCTTGACCTTGAAAGACTGGCAGTTTCTACTTTCTGTTTCTTGGATCACATGGTTGGAGGAGGCAGCTGCCACTCTGTGGGAAATCAAAGCATTCCCATGGACAGGCCCATGTGGAGACAACCTGAAGTCTCTGGCCAACAACCCCCACTGTGCTCACAGGTGACAGCTAATACAAATTGCAGCTATAAAGGAAGCCTATTTAGAAGTGGATACTCAGCCCCAGTTGAGCCACTTCAGGTGAATCAGAAACTAGCCATCCGTGCTAAACTCTGCCAAAAATGCAAATTTGTACACAAACAAATGATAGCTATTTTTAAGTCACTAAATTTTAGCATGATATTTTATGCATCAGTAGTAAACAGAGCAAAATATTTAGTTCTGTAATTTGTTATACAATAATAATAGGTACAATATGTACTTGTGAAACTTCAGAATAAAACATTAAAATATATTTTATATTATTTTTATATATACTTATATGTAATAAGGGTGAAAAGTCAAGAAATTTACAAAGAAATAAGATCAAATTGACATTAGACTTCTTCAGCACATGATAGAACACATTAGATCAATGCCTTTTAAGTTCTGAAGAAATAATTTTGAATCAAGAAGATAATTCTTTTTTTAAAGTATATATACAGGAGTGTGTGTATACACACACACATACATATGCACATATATATTCACGTACATATACACATACAGATATATGTATGTGTTATCTTAAAAGAAGCTAAATGGTTATAATACATGATATATAATCAATTGTGTTGTCATTTTATCACATTAAAATTTTACTGCTTTTGTTGTTTCTTTATGAGTACAACAGGTTATGAATTTGTCAGAGCTACCTTGTACTTTTCCTTACAGATCTCAGTGTTCTGCAATAATAGATGAAATTTTATTTTAAAAATTCGACTTGGGATGAAGTGAGGATGGTGGTTAGAATTGGGAAAGGATTAGAAATCCCTCAAACTGTAACTATTCCTTTTCCTATTTGCCAAGTTTTTTTGATTGTTTAAAAAATGACACGAAGGACAGCATCCCTGTCAATGTTGCAGAAAGAGAGCTCATTTCCGAGCTTTCCCTTTGGTTAAGCCAAAGAACAGCTGCCTAAAACACATCTAATTACAGCAGTAATTAAAGTTCTTACCTTACCTGTGTAGTCAAGGACACAAGGACTTCTAATGGGAACAAATCTAGATACAAAGGCTTGCTGTCAATTAGCCCTGATGGTTAGAAAAAGTAATGAAGGAGAATGAAGGTTGAGTTACAGCTCTGTACAAAACAAATACAGTAATTCAGCACCTCTTTCTTTTCCTGGATCCAGTGCAAGAGTTTGGAAGAAGAAAGACAAGCAGATTATCTAGGTAATATGATCTTAAGAATATCAATGGATAATGGTGTCCTCCGTCAACTTTGCACTAGTGCTTACCTCTAACAAAAGATGGGACTGCTACAAAAACAAGCCCTTCAATCTGAAAACAACACAACTGTTCAAGCTCTTGTCACAAATTCTGTCAATAGAATGAAGACAAAAAAAGGAGAAAGAAATGTGATTCGGCAGTGTTTTGTGCTCCATCCTCTCTGAGCAAAATTTTCTCTCCTCATAAGCCTGACTTTCTCAAGCTGATGCTATATTTAGAATATGTTTTTTCTAGGCTTAAAAATTATGTTGTATTTTGATAAGGAAATAATTATAATAAAATATGAGAGAGCTAAATGTACATAATGAAAATTGTTAAGGTATTCTTTAAAAAACAAGTGTCTTGGAAAATCTTTTTCATCCATAGCATATCTTGACTGTATTGTGTATTAATCTTAAACAAAGATATTATATGTATTATTTGAAATGTTGTTGCTTCTGTGCCCTCCCAAATTTGCCACTTGATGCAGAAGGTAATCTACATACCTGTCTTCTCATAGATTGTAAAGTCCTTGAGATAATATTCTGGACAAATCCCAGAGACTCTGTGACCAGCAAAATGTAAATGTTCAATCTGTTTTGATCTTTGTCCATTTAAATTTTGCATTAATTATACTAAATACACATTATATTGATTATAATGAATATTAAGCATTTCATTAAGAATAATTATGTATGCTTTGTGCATTTCATATTGAAGATTTTCTTTCAAATTTTATTTTAGATGCAGAAGGTGCATATGCAGTTTTGTTACGTGGGTAAATTGTGTGTCGCTGAGGTTTGCTGTATGAGTGATCCCATCACCCAGGTAATAGGCAGAGAACCCCTTAGGTAGTTTTTCCACCCTCACTCTACCCCTCCCCTCCCCACTCTAGTAGCCTCATGCCCCATATCTATTGCTCACATCATTATGTTCCTGTATACTTATCTCTACTTATAAGCAAGAACATTAGTTTCCCGTTCTTTATGCTTTATTTATGTTTTGTTCTCCCATTTTCTCACTTATTCATACAGAAGGACATACATTTACTGTGATGGTTAGTTTCACCACTTTGGCTAGGCTACAGTATGCAGTTTTTAATGAAACACTAATCTAGGTTTTGCTGTGAAGATATTTTGTACATGTGGTTGTAATCTACAATCAGTTGACTTTAAGTAAAGGAGATTGTCCTTGATAATTTGAGTGGGACCTCACCCAAACCGTTGAAGACCTTAAGAACAAATATTTGGGTTTTCCAGAGAAGAAGAAATTTCACCTGAATACTGCAGCATTAACTCCTGTTCTCTGAAATTTCTACAGATTTCAGCCTTGCCAGTTTTCACAATCTTATGAGTTGACTTGTTAAGATAAATCTATGTATTACAAGGAAGACTTCAAAAGTTCATAGAAAAAATAGAATTAAAAGACAAAAATGTGAAATAAACTTTATTTCTCAGCATTAAGTTCAGGCCTTTTTTTTTTTTTTTTTTTTTTTGAGACAGAGTCTTACTCTGTCACCCAAGCTGGAGTGCAATGGTTCTATCTGGGCTCACTGCAACCTTCGCCTCCTGGGTTCAAATGATTCTCCTGCCTCAGCCTCCCCAGTAGCTGGAATTACAGGCAACTGCCATCATACCCAGCTAATTTTTAGTAGAGACAGGGTTTCACCGTGTCAGTCAGGCTGGCTGGACGCAGTGGCCACTCCTGTAATCTCAGCACTTTAGGAGGCCGAGGTGAGTGGATGACCTGAAGTCAGAAGTTCAAGACATTTTTATAAGCAATAGTATCAGCCATTTAGTCTATCCATAAAGGACTAAGGGACCTGGGAATTTAAGCATGTGAATGTAGTCTTTTTCAAAGAATTAACTAAAGAAAAAATGGTTCTCTTTAATATCTTATTTTCTTTGAGATTAGGGGAAAAAAAAAAGAAGTCAGAAGGAGAGAAATGAAGACTGTAAGGTGGATGCTAACGAATTCTTGTAAAAATACTCACAAAATTGCCCTTACTTGATGAGAGATATAAGTAGGATTATTGTTTAGGTGAAGAAAGTATCTCTCTTTCATGCTAAAGCTTGGCTAACTTGCTTAAAACACTCTCATAAGAAGTAGTTACTATCATTCTTTGGCCCTCCAGAAAGTCACCCACTAAAATGTCTTGAGCATCTCCACAAAATGTTGCCATTACCTTTGCTATCTTCACAGGTCTGCTTTTGCTTTACTGGGTCACTTCTACGTCATGACAAAGCCATTGCTTTGATTGTGCTTTGTCTTCCAAATCATACTGATAAAGCCATGTTTCATCTCTTGTTAAAGTTACTTGAAGAAAACTTAAGAATCTTTATCCCAATTGTTTAAAATTTCTGACAAAAGCTCTGATCTTGTCTGCAGCTGATCTGGGCCCAACAGTTTGGCACTCATTCATTGAATGGAAAGTTTGCTGAACTTATTTTTCAGTCAAAAGCGTTTAAGCTGAAGTAACTATGATGTCTTCGTTGCTGACTACTGTGTCTGCTGTTAATTGTTGGTCTTCTTTCAATTCTTGTTCATTCAAAAATAAAGAAGATGATTTTTTCTTTCTCACAAATCGATGTGGATGGTCTGCCATGACCGGCTTTGTCTTCAACATTGTCTCCTTCCTCCTGTTTCTTCTTAAGATGAGTTACCTGTTTGTAAATTGTTGATTTCTCAGGTGCATTGTTCCCATAAACTTCTTGTAAACCATCTATGATTTCATCATTTTTCCACCTCAGCTTCAGCAAAAATTTGAATGTTTACCATATATTTTTGTGTCACTTTAACAGAATTTATGTTACTCTGACAGGGGCTCTTTTCAAACTACTATCTTATCTTTCTTTTTTTTTTTTTTTTTTTTTTTTTTTGAGATGGAGTCTTGCTCTGTCGCCCAGGCTGGAGTGCAGTGGTATGATCTCAGCTCACTATAACCTCTGCCTCCCAGGTTTAAGTGATTCTCCTACCTCAGTTTCCTAAGTAGCTGGGACTACAGGCACATCTCACCACACCTGCTTAATTTTTTGTAAAGACAGGGTTTTACTATGTTAACCAGGATGGTCTCCATCTCCTGACTTTGTGATCCACCTGCTTCAGTGTCCCAAAGTGCTGGGATTACAGACATGAGCCACTGCACCTGCCCTGTCTTATCTTTCTTAATGCCACCAAACTAGATTATGTTCTGTTCAGACATGTTATAATAAGTTAGTAGGAGTTTATATTCGTGCAAAAAATGTTGAAATTCATGATAGCTTTCTCATAACACACATTTTTTATGAACTTTTGAAGAAACATGTGTGTTTGTGGTGTGGTGTGTGTGTGTGTGTGTGTGTTTCTAAAGAATCCTTACTACTATATAATTTTAAGAAAAATGGAATATATATGAAATTTTATAATTTCGGGGAATATCATGAGTTTTTATTTGTCTACATGTTTGTCATTTACTGCTTTATGTTTTAATACCATATCTTTGTAGTCAATAATAGAAATGCAAATATGTACTTTGATACTGTCTAGAAAAATATTTTACAAGATCAATATGAAAAGCTCATAAATTATACATTTTACCATATCAGTTTGGGGAATGATTTCAGTTTCCTTCACAATATCATTAAACACTGAATTGGGTTTACTTAGACAGCGCTTTTAAAACAGATCATCTTTGGTGGTTTATCACTTAAAGCAATAAACGGTACTAAAAGTTTAAGAGTATGTAAGTTTATTTTCTATCTCTCAAATGAATATGGACCAATAAACTGGAATAAACATATACAGCATCAGCATATTTAAGTACATACATAAATTTTCTAACCTATAATTTTCAATTGGCATGAAAGAGTGTTAGGGCTTTAAGTATTATCAATATATTATCTAATTTAGAAAGAGGATGCTAATTATCATGGATTGTAAGAGAAATGGTGGATCATCATATTGTATGAATTTTGAGGCTGAATCCAGTATCAGATAGAAATGATTAGAATGTCTGGTGTGGACATGGTTTGGAAGATTGGGTAAGGTCAGGTAATAGCAGTTGTTTAAGATATTTAACAGAACTAGACAAATCTATTCTAAAGTACTTAATCATTAAAACAATTTTATAATCTCCTTAAATTATCTAAGTATGTTGAGTTATTATCCAAACAGAAGCATTTCAAAACAAACAAATACCATCACTTATGCAGAAAATAACTCTACATTAAGCAATAAGAAGAAACATATTTTGTAAATTCTAATACCTCAGAATTTATATTCTAAATATGAATTTAGAATAAGTTCTTCTGTTGTTAATGTAGTCTTAGGCCCAACTCACTTCTCTAATAACCTTAAGGAATAATTACACTAAACATCAATATTGCCCTTACATTAAAAAAATAGATTTAAGACACAATATTCTGTGTTTGCATATTGCCTCATAATTTTTTGGTTATGTACATATCTACAATGCCTACAAACCAAAACACAGTTTGAGGTAAATGTCAATCCCAGTTCCCCATAGTTCTTGGTATTGAAACTCTTGAGACTAACACAAAAATCATAATATAATTACTAGAAAAATATAGATTGTAAGATTTGGAAAATACTTACATATAGTAGGAATATATGTGTGTGAGTGTATACATAGATTTTCCAGTTATAATTTTACTATACATGGTAAAATTATATATATATGTTATATATTATATATATAAAATGTTATATATTATATATATGTTTATAATATATTCATTTGTCCACCATATATATGTTTTTGAATCTCTAGGTTGATTACTATTGTCTTCAAAATATCTTCATCTACTATACATCATATATAGATAATATATGGTAGAAAATTTTTGTCTACTATATATTATATAATGTTATAAAATATTATATATTTGATACATTATACATATATAATAGTATATATTATAACATCTATTATAACAGTATATATTATAATATATATTATAACCATACATATTATAAAATTTATAGTAGTAACCAACCTGAAGATTCAAAAACAGATGGAGCTTCCCAATTCATACTCTTGATGACATTGTGGGACAGTAAGTCTTCAGCAGAATGCATAAAATAATGATTGTATTGTTGTCATTTTAATTTCTTTTGTTTCATTTTTCTTAGAGAATAGATCATTAAGAAATATAATGGGTGAGACACCTTACAAGTGTTCCTAAAATGTCAATATAATCATGTCTTTTCTACCAGTACAAAAAGTTGTCATAGTTTTCTATTACACACTGGCTCAGCTTTAAACTTTTCTGGTCATCTTTAAGGCTCCTCACAGTATACTCAACTCTATCTATCCATATTATTTCCAGATAATTCATAATATTATTTTCCCTTTGTGTTAAGCAGGTTTATCATCTTGCTAATTTCTTGGAACTTTTCAGTTTTCTTCCACTTGTAAAGCCTTTATTCTCTGTTCTCCTGCCATTTACGTTTCTCCGTATCCTTTTTGTTACTCAAAGCCCAGCTTAAAATCTTGCCTAAACATAGCACTCAGTCAGAAAATAATTGTTGATTGTCCATATGAAAGAATAAAACTACACAAAAAATGACTTAAACTATAAACTATAGACAAGTGAGTCATGAATGATGGAGGTATACACTGCATGTGACAAAATTATAAAATGTGTTATAAAACCTGTAACAAGTATAAGTTATATAATCTTTGTTGGCAAATTTTCATATCTAATAAAAGAATAATAAAACTCATAATGGTCTAATAATTTTAAAAATAGGGAAACTGCAATATCATAACTAAATTAATAATACAGAATGTGTATATTTAGCCAAGTATTTTCTCTTGATAGCTTTCATTATTCCACATTTTATTCTCTACCTCCTGTCCATTCTATGGACCCATAGTTCCAAATGAGCTTGTTCAGGAAAGAGGTTGTACCTTATTCATCAATGGATTCCAAGCATCTAACATTGCATCTGACCATGTTAGACACTCAACAGGTATTTGTGAAATAAAGAAATTATTACATTTTGTTTTCTATGAATTGCAATGTTTTCAAATGTGACAGAATTTTTTATTTACATTTTTGTATTTCTCAAATGCTTATCTACTTCCCTTTTTACCAGCTTACAAATTGGAATGTATCTTTGCATTTTCCCCAAGTTTGGATGATGTTGATTATCCTTGCCCTACTACTTTTACTCGTTATGCTGTTTGCACTTTTGATTTTACTAATTTCCTAAACTATAAAGCATTCATAGCTTTATTTACTCATTGAAATCTTACAACTCCTTCAAGGCCCAGCTCATTTTTTTTTGAGAACCTTAAATAATAATTATATTAAACACCAATCTTACTTTATATATTTTTTTAAAAATCTTAATCTGAAGACACAATATTTTTCTTTATATATTGCTTAACTTCTTGGAAATTTAACATATTGTTTCCTACCAAATGAAAAATAATTCCCTCCATCATTATACTATTTATTTTATTATCTACAGTGTGTACAAAACATATAGAGCAAATATTTATTAAAATTGTCCTTGAATAAATTTGAGAAAGACTGGTCAAGAAAAAGTACTACATTCTAATTATTAGACGTGGTGTACCATGACCTGTGTTTAATGGCTATAAGTACTGGCAGAAAGTATGACATAATAGTGAGCATTTTTTTTTTTTTGCAATAATAATTGAGCAAAATGGCTTTAAGGTTAGAAATAAACAAAATGATATAATTAACTTGAAAATATTAACTAGAATTAAAAACCCTTAAGTACTTAAAGAAATAAGAAAAGATTGTTAAATATAAAATATACATATTTTTAATAAAAATGTATGAAAAATAAAAGGACTTGTTATTATATGGAGAAGTAGCTCATATAGAGGTTTCTAAATGTTTTGGTCTCAAACCTTCTTCACACTGTGAAAAATTATGAAGCACTTCAATTAATTTTCATTTTTTTTTAGTTATATTTACTTATGGACACTCTTAAAAATAAAAGCATGCATTTAAAAATATTTATTTCTTTATTTTAAAATAGCAATAATAAGCTTATTTTATTTTATTATAAATGTAATATTTTGCTTTTAAAAGTAGCTATATTCTAATTTTTTTAATTTTGATTATATTTTTATTTTTTAGATTTTTAAATTTCTTTAATACTTGGCTTAATAGAAGACAGCTGGATTCTTACATCTGTTCAGCACTCAATCTGTTGTGATATCATCACACATTACATAGGACCTGACAACTCAATGTATATTTGCTAGAAAAACTAGTGAAGAAAAGGCAAATCATCTCTAGTGTCATTATAAAAGCTTTTTATAACTGGAAAAAATCAAGAAAACAATTTCATCTACAATAACCACAATAAATAAACAAAGTAACAACATACCTAGGGATTAATTTAATTAGCAGCAGGATTGATCTCTACAAGAAAAGCTCTAAAACACTGATGAGAGAAACTGAAGAGGATATCAAAATATAGAAAGACATACTATGTTTAGAGATTGGAAAAAATAATATTGTTAAAATGATCCAAAGAAATTTTGCAATCCCTTTAAAAATATAAGTGACATTATTTACAGAAATAGAAGTACAAATTATAGAATTTGTATGAAACCACATAAGACCCTGATTAGCCAAAGTGATCCTGAGGGAAAATAACAGAGTTGGAGGCATCACAC